ATTGATATTGTTGAGGCAGTAACAAGGATTGCTGAAGAGACATTCAAAACCACAAACCTGCCCACTCTTCCTCTACACGAGTCTGATGCCTTTGATGAACCAGCTCCTGAATTGCATGCTATTACACCTTGCGAGCTGGAACCTGTGGAGACAAGCCCTGAGATTATGGACTCTGAGCCAGAGCAGTCACCCATAATAGGTGGACAGTACCTGCTAAGAAAGACCAAACAACTCAGTAAACCCCAGCTCACCGCAACACACAGTGGTAAGGTCACCAAACGTCCAACAGCATGTGTCTCTGTCAGTTCTGGCCTCAGGAATGCAGCTCTGTCATCCTTGGATGACAATACTATTATCCAACCCTCCCCTATCATTGGAGGCCAGTTTCTGCAGCGGAGGGATGCCATGGTGAAGAAACCTGACTCTGTTCCATTTCATGATGGTAAATTATATGCTGCAAGAGGTAAAAACCAAGGGGGGAAATACAAAGGCTCATCAACACAGGAAGATAATCTCAAATGCCTATCCAAAAAGAAATAAAAATTGAACAATGGAACTGCCATAGCCTAACAAATAAACTAAGTAACTTTAAGCTGCATATATACACTACCAAACCCCATGTAATTTGCTTATGCGAAACTTGGCTGGATCAGAATGCAGAACCTCATTTCATAGGTTACTCAGCAGTATTCAAGCATAGAGATGGAGGCCAGGGAGGTGGAGGTTTGGCCATGCTAATCCGTAATGACATCCCATTTCTTGAAATACCTCTTCAACCTTTCCCGGCTGGTGCCCTGGAAGTTCAGGGTTTGAAGGTGTTCCTGAAGAATAACTCATCTCTCTCTATCCTGAATATATACAATCCTAATCAACCTATTACTTTTAATGAATTCCAACACTTTTTCCAACAATTAGGTCATTCAGCTATTGTTGTTGGAGACTTCAATGCTCACCACCCCATGTGGGAGCCAACCAAGGTGCCTAACACTACTGGTAGAAACTTGATGGAGGTCCTACTACGTAACCCAATGCTAGCCCTGCTTACACCTCCTGACCTGCCCACATATTTCAATACCTATCATAACTCATTCTCTACTCTCGATCTTACCATCATTTCATCAAACCTGCAGCCTCTTTCCTTTACCTCTACTGAACCTGATATGGGCAGTGACCATTACCCTGTCCTCACCTCTGTCGGAGTGGAACCTACCACTATCCAGTACAGGCGCCGCCCTGCATGGTTGTTTGAAGCAGGATCTTGGGCGACCTGGTATTCTGCACTGCCTCAGGCTAATGATGACCTTCCCCATGATCTTCCCCTTAGTCTCAAGAGCTTTGTGGAAAATATAGTCTCAGCTAGCACTGAAGCATTCCCACAAAGCAAAGAAGCCATAACTGCCAAGTATAATAAGGTCTGGTGGACCCAAGCATGTGCTGATGCAGTTAATACAAGTAGAGCAGCAAAGTCACTACTTATTTCCCAGCCTTCACAGGAGAATCTTATTAATTTCAAGCGATCCCAGGCAAAAGTCAAGTGGGAGGTTAAGGCAGCCAAGAAGGCCTCATGGAAGAAGTTTTGTAACACCATAACCTCTGACACCCCAATTACCATTTTGTGGAATAGGATAAGAAAACTCCAGACTCCATTTACATGCAAGTCACATCCTTTTCTGAAGCCTAATTTAATTCTCTCTGACCCTGCTTCCAAGGTGGAAGCCTTGGCAGAACATTATGAGCAGGTACTCTCCTCACCAACCCCCACACCTTATCCTAACCATATTATACTCCCTCTGGCTTTTGCTTTGAATTCTGAACTTTGTTCTCCTCTCAATGACCCATTCACACTGTATGAATTGGAAACATGCCTGACTTATCTTAAGAATACATCTCCTGGTCTTGATCGCATACATAATAAACATCTCTCCCACCTTCCTCCTGACTATAAGTTATGGTTGCTGAGGCTCTTTAATAAGAGCTTTGAGTCTGGGACAGTTCCACACGAGTGGAAGACAGCATTAATAATTCCCATTCCCAAGCCCAACAAGGCACTTACTTCTACCAACTCTTACCGTCCAATCTCCTTGCTATCCTGTGTCGCCAAACTAATGGAACAGTTGATAAATAAACGCTTGCAATTCTTTCTTGAGCAAAATAATTCATTTAGGTCTAGTCAGGGAGGCTTCAGACCTCGCTTAGCTGCAATTGACCAAATAGCCCGTCTAGACACTGCAATTCGGAATAGCCTCAGGACAAAGTCTGTACTCGCTGTTGTCTTCTGTGATTTCAGTAATGCATTTGACACAATCTGGCACAATGGCCTTTTGTACAAGCTGAGTAGATGTGGAGTACAGGGAAGGTTGCTGCGCTGGCTCAGAGATTACTTGTCAGACAGAACTTTCAAAGTCTTCTTTGAAGGTGAGTATTCTACATTGCACAGGATTAAGGCTGGTGTCCCGCAGGGAGCCATTTTGTCTCCGCTTCTTTTTAATGTTGTAATGAGTGACATCCCTTCCGTCCCAGGTGTGCACTGTACAGAGTATGCAGATGATGTAGCCTTCTTTTCCTCTGATGTTGACATTGCCCAAGCAACAGCACGACTCCAGACACAACTTTCAGCTTTTTATACCTGGTCTCAACAGTGGGGACTGAAACTGAATCTTCTTAAAACTAAATGCATGTTTTTCACAAATAGAAATGTTACTCCTCTGCCCTTACACATTGATGGACAACCAATTGAGATAGTATCAAAATACAAATATCTTGGTGCAGTCTTGGATGCACCTAGACTGCGGTGGAGTGCACAAGTTGAATCCTTGATGACTTCATGCTTACCAATCATCAATTTACTCCGATCCATCTCGCACAGAGAATGGGGTGCTGATCGCACACTGCTCATCCAACTGTACAGGACTCTCATCCTCAGTCGTTTAGATTATGCTGCTCCTCTTTACGCATTAACTCTTGTAGCTCAAGCTCCAGGCCAGGATAATATAAAAATGAACTTCAAGCAACTGTGCTTCAATTATCCAACACCGGCGAGAACTGCTCCAAGCTAACTAACGTTAGTTGAACTTACAGTTTGCTACTATCAAAGTCGAACTCTTGTAGCTCCAGGCCAGGACAATGTATAAATGAATTTCAGGCCACTGTGCTTCACTTATCCAACCTACAATGCCTTCTCTAACTCTCCTAGTCAGCGCATAGGTGCTTATACACGGGGCTATTAGTTGCGTCTACTACAGTTTTGCAGGCCGAGATCCTATACACGAGTATAGTGTTTTCGGTACACTGCGCCCGCGACAGTGCAACGTGTAAAGGTTTTGCACGGTGGAGGCATGCGAGGGCACGACAGCAGTGGGCGAGAGAGAGAACGACGCAGCTGAACTCGGTATGACGGCCGGGCCGCTACTGAGCGGCGTGGCTGGCACTGGCTGGTGGGCCGTATGTCTTTAGGTTGTCAGTACTCGGCGCTGGTCAGTGCTGGTTGCATTGGAAGAGAGTGTGCAAGGATTAGAATTTACATTCTTGTGAATAGAATCTTGTGCCTCGCAACCAAAGTGACTAATTTTTTATACATTTGCTGGAATCTTGCGCGATTTGCAGCCTAATTGGGCAATGGGCACTTGTGTTAACAATTAGATGGAGCCTGGGGGTAATTCATCTTGCGGTTGCGGGAATCTAGCAGCTCAAAAATATAAGGGAATTTCTGGTTGCAGCTCTAATCAGTCTAATGCAATGGTAAATGACTAAATCAGTAAATGGTACTTGCCCTACTTGGTAGATTATTTAGATACTTGGTAGATTATTTATATTCCAAGCCATGATGCCTGTAGTGAGCAACAAAATATCTTTAATAATCATCAAAACTTCAAAAGAAGACTTTGCCAAGATATTTTTCTTTTAATCTTTTGTTACATGTATTTATGACAATATATCTTGATGATTTTGGTAGTACTGGTAACTAATCCTCAATAATACTGGCTAAGTTTTGGGCTAAAGAATAAGAACATGATCTTGGCAAAACAATTGCCAAAATCTGCATCACGGCCTACCTAGTTGACTTTCCTCGCTCCTTCATGAGTTTATCCTGTTCCTGCATAGTCCACACATTCTCCAAATATTGATTTTGACTCTCCAAATTCAGTTAAGGAAGATGCAGGCTTTGAGGCAGAAAATTGTTTATAGCAAATAGTTCAATTGTCTCATTGTTAATATTTAATAAACAAATAGTCACATGGTGTATTTATTTCTAAATGTTTTTTGGTACATGTCTACATGGCATCATTTATTAGCTTGGATTAGGAAAAAGGCTCTTTCTTAAATTCATCATCATCATTATTGTCTTCCTAATCTTACCTTTAGTGCAATTGCAGTTATTCATGGGAGCAGTCATTCCTGGCCCCTTCAAAGTAGCATAATATCATTTTGATTTATCCATCTCCTGTTTGCAGTTTGCTTATGTCCTCATGGTGGCAAATGAGGGTTTTTTTAGGCTTGGTTTAAAATTTTGTATGATAACCAATTAAATAGAGGTAAATACTGGAGAAAGGGAAGACAACTCATAGGGAAGGTTGACAAAAAACTTACTCATTTGAAATTTGACATAGCATACCGTAAACTGGGCCCTGGGGTAACTTAGACCACTTTTTTTTTTTAAATGATGCCATTTTTTTACTAGATAAGTTAAACTTAAATTGAAACATGCAAAATACAGATCTATACTCTAGCTTCACTCACCATAAATTGCTGGCTCCTGCCTCTCATAGTTTTGATAAATTGGAGGGGGTACTCTGAGAGGCTTTAAAAAATAGCTTTTTTTCATGGGTCACATTTTTAATTTTTTAACCAATTAGATATGCAAACTTTTTTAATCTTTCTATTGTGTTATGTAGCCTCAGTATTAGGCCTTTAATGCCCATTGACAGAATTTTTCTATGTCAAATAGTTTATGAGTTTTGGGGGTGTTTGTTAAAAAAACCAAAAGTGGTCTAAGTTACCCCGGGAGTCTAAGTTACCCCAGTTTACGGTATGCAACTTGTGTGACCATGTGATGTGATGTATGTGGGCAATTTCATTTGTACCCTTGCCTAATTAACATCTATCATGGAAATAGGGAAAATTTTAATGTTTTCATTCAAAATGACTGACTTTATTTACTTATAACTACATTTATAACATGTTTTGTGATTGTTACAGAGACAGACAAGGCTTTACAAAAATGACTTCAGTGTTATCCCAATCACAGTCAAGTGATTATGGGCCAGACTGTGGTGGAAGGTTGAAGGTAAGCATTCATGATAGCAATGTGAAGAGAAAAGCTAATTTGCCAATCATCCCAAACAGTAAATTTGAAATATTTTTCTGGTTGTACAAGGTGCAGACTGAGACCATCATCCAAAAGATTCACATAGAGCATGTTTTGATTACAATGCTAGAAGACGATTGATCATCCTGTTCCTGGCACCCATATTAATCAGTGCTTCATGATGGCCTATTAATGACATTGACCTCATCTAGAAATTACAATTTGTTTGAAAATCATATTGAATGTTAAATTTTAATTTCATATTTTAAAATGTTTTTGATAGTAATTTTTGTTTACTAAGACATTTGATCATTTGGATCCTTTTTGTGCAGGGTGTGAGCATTATGAAACCCATTGTGTATGGAAACATTGCTCGTTATTTTGGTAAGAAGCGAGAAGAAGATGGACACACACATGAGTGGACTGTGTACCTGAAGCCTTACCTCAATGAAGATATGTCTACTTATGTCAAAAAAGTCTGGTATTTATTAATACAATTAACATTGCTTCCATTATATTTTCAGCTTGGATTTTGGAAAATGTAAAGTGGGGTTCTGTGCTTACTGCTTAGAATTTTGAGATTCTGAAATGAATATAATGTACTTCATAGTTTGTGTACATTGATTTGTTTATGCCTGAATTCAAGTTTGTCAATGAAGGTTTTGCCATTTCAAATTTTTTGATTTAAGACTATGTTAGCACTTGAATGAAAGTTTTAGGACATTTCAATGCTTATGATTCTTTTCACCTTGAATATATGATAACTGTCATGTGCAACAATTCTTGAATAAGGCTAACTATGTACCATGAAACGAGGTGACTTGGACTATCGACAGGCTGACTTGGACCATTTTTAGCGCCACCTTTTTGTGATGCAAATAGTCACATAGTAGTATATATATAAAATATATCTCTTAATTGCATTTGTAGGTTATCTCATGGTACTTTAAGAAGCCATCAATACAATTTTTCTAAGGTAAATAATTTTTCAGTGTAGGGTTTTCTTTCCTTAAATGTCAAAACAGTCCAAGTCCAAATCACTCTGTTTACATTAATAATTTAAGAATCTAATAAGTAATAGATTACAATGTGCTGCAGGTACAATTCAAACTACATGACAGCTACGCAAATCAAACTAGGGTAGTGACTCGTCCTCCATATGAAGTAACAGAAACTGGCTGGGGAGAGTTTGAAATTGTCATCAAAATTCATTTCCAAGATCCAAATGAGCGACCAGTGAGTTATTGTATTTTTTCTTGAGCAGTCAGTTAAGGTATTTGTGATGTAGGTACACATTGGTTTCTTGAGGGAGCAGAGGAGGTGTTTGTGTGTGGCATTTCCACAAGTTTTCTGTTAGTTTTACTTAAGGGCATCTGATTGTAGTCATTGATGTTGGCTACTGAATGTGAAATAAGAAGTAGAAGCTTGAGATGAAATGAGTGCATATAAAGCCTTAAACCATATGTTTGTTGTTCATACTTGTGAGAAGCCAAAGTTTCCTACTATTCCTACTATTGCCATGCTTCATTCACAATGAAAAAATTCTCAGGAAGATATCAATCAAGATTTCAAAAATATACCAATGGTAAATTTTGATTTTAATCTTTTATATTTTTTTGGGGAATTGCTGTAAATAAAGCATTATTGTATAAATAAGAACTGCTCTTGCATAGGCCACCATAACCCAATATGTCCCATTATGCGCTAGCAGGTGTCCTGGTATCTTTGATGGTCGGATAATACACGGTTATGTTATGTGATATTTGAACACGTTAAAGCTGGCAATTATCATAGTTACTTTATAATCCAACGATTCACCTCATTCTGAAATGTATAGCTATTCATCCTCCTGTTTGCATTGGCCATTCCTATTAGTTAATTGGTTTTGTTTCTTTAAATAGTTTACTTTCTTTACTTTAGACTGACTACGTGTCTTGTGAAAAAATATTTCTATGTATATCACTGTTATTTATTGACTTGTGCATTGTATTTGTCATCTAATTAACATATCAACACGATCAGATCAAGTATTCCTTTGTTTGAAACTAAATCAGTTGATCAACTAATTTTTTTTAATATCCATTTAATTTGTACACCATTTTAGTTTGTACCATTGCAAATGTTTCACCATAACCTAATCGTTAGTATCAAATGAAAATTTAAATCAGAGGTAATTAAATAATTCCAGCTATGCATAATAGATATGAATCATGACTCATCTCTTCATTCCAGGTGACTATATACCACATACTCAAGTTATTCCAATCAAGCCCGGGCACTTGCTCCACCATCACTTCCATATTGCCTGCCACTGCTCCACTCTCATCCACTCCTCCATCTCCTGCTCTATCCTCTCCCGCCGCCCCTTCCACCGCCTCAGACGGGAGCGTCGTCCCCAGCAGGAAAATCCTGGTGGCAGAGTCGTATGAAGAGCTCGTCTTCCAGGCTAGTGGGAGCAACGACTAACTTATCCTTAGCTGTATAAAAAATCTTTTATATGCATTATTATGAGTAATAATTAGTTAAATTATTAAGAGCTCGTCTTCCAGGCTAGTGGGAGCAACGACTAACTTGTCACCAGCTGTAGAAAAATCTTTTATATGCATTATTATGAGTAATAATGCCTTAAATTATGAAGAGCTCGTCTTCCAGGCTAGTGGGAGCAACGACTAACTTGTCACCAGCTGTAGAAAAATCTTTTATATGCATTATTATGAGTAATAATGCCTTAAATTATGAAGAGCTCGTCTTCCAGGCTAGTGGGAGCAACGACTAACTTGTCACCAGCTGTAAAAAAATCTTTTATTTGCATTATTATGAGTAATAATTCGTTAAATTATGAAGAGCTCGTCTTCCAGGCTAGTGGTAGCAACGACTAGCTAACTCGTCCTTAGCTGTACACCTACTTTCTTGAATTACATGCAGTTTGGTTGTACCGTATACCAACCTTCTAGTACTCTCAGCAGGCTAGTTGTGCGTGAAAAAATATCTTTTATATGCATTATTATGAGTAATAATGCCTTAAATTAGAGATCTAATTGAATTTAACATCAAAATTTAAAGTGAACAGTAACGAGTGCAATCGAGCGGTTGAACTTGTGAGTTCTCCTTTTCGTACACTGAAGCTGGAATGCAATTAAAATGTTTCAGAGCCATGCTACTCGGCCCAATCAATTTCTTTATAAAATATGTAGTAGATGATGAATATCTTTTTATACATCCCACTTGGTTCTAAAATAAGAAAATTTTCAGGAGCCATCGGCGCTGATGCAGCAGCTGCTGCAGAACTGTTCACAGCTGTCGCTCTCCGATCACCGCCACTACACTGATTGTGAGTCATAGTTTCTGACAGGAACGAATACGATACAGTATAAAAGTGAGCGAGACAGACTCTTCCCAAATATTACTTGACCCAATGACGTCACTCGAGGGTGAGTTCCATTGCATTCCCAGTTTGCGGGCACGCGAATTTTCTGAATAATGAAGCATAGTAATATATAACTCACCTTGGACCCGCAATCTCCATAGCGTCTATTCTTGGGTTAAGGGGCTCGTTTACCTCTTCAGCAAGAGAGCTTGAATGGTATTGAAAAGCTTCTTTGCTCTTTCTTGCTTTAGCCACTGTAGGAGTAACCCTTCCGTCGAACTCAAAACATCCGTGGCTTACTTCCAATATGCAGAAGTCAGTGCATTAATTCGCCCGGAACGGATTTCTGTGATGTTCTCTTGACTATTTGAAAAAATTCATTTGCATTCCATAGCTAACCCTCAATCTACTGCTTGTGTGTAAAAGGCATCATCGCCCTTAAATGAAATGTTGTTTGGGTGTTGAGGGAGCCCACCAGAGCCCCATTTGAAGGGGAGTTAAACCTTTCATTCATATTAATACTAATTATTAATTATACTCATTATGGTGTACTTTTCAAATCAGAACTTCGTTACCTTTCATTGAGCAACCGATGTTTCCTAAGCTATTTAACAAAACGAAGGTAATGACGACAGAGAACTCAGTTTGTGTTATTCAATAAGTATGTATGTGAGTTCAGTTACTACAGAGTGCGATTGAAACGTGTAACGACATTCAAGTTGCGTGTTCAAGCAGCGTTTAACCTTGACCGGATTAGCTGAACTGACTCCTCCTTTCAAGATAAATGTTAATATAGTTTGTCACGGGTAAGCGTAATGGCGTCGTCTAGTTCTCACAATCGTGATGCTAAATCAGCGTGTACTAATTTATCAATTCGTTGAGCGTTAAGTAGTATCGAGGATGTTGAGTAGAATAGAATGATATTCCAGAAGCAGAACTTCCAGAATATTATGAGCAGAATTCACCAAGATCCTTGCCAATTGAAAGTAATCGTTTTACATTTGATTTTTATATAATAACGATTGTTCACTAGATTTTTATTTTTACAGTCGAATCTAAGAAGAGGAAGACTTTGGAAAACATCGCCATTGGTAAAGAGAAAGTTAGTCAAGAACTCACGGATCTACGAGCCAAAATACAACTAGCAAAAGAGACGCTCGCTGACTTCAAGGAAAAGTTTGCAAAGGCCCAGTCTGAAATTGCCTCTGACGCGTGATGTTACTGGGACAGGGTAATTATATACTTGATCGACGCTCAATATATTGTAACCGTTCTAGCACCGCCTGAATGACTCACCACTGCGTGCAGTAATTTAATACATTTTGAGACCACTGCGATATTTGAATATCCATCTATGTCTCTGAATCGTCTAAGCGACATATTCATTTTGATAAAGAAATGTTTCGATTCCATCTAACTTGCACTGTGTAGGTCTCAAATTTAGAATCGGAGCAAATCAGGAAATCTAATTGATCCGTACCTTGCCGTTTAGTCCTCGTCTACAGGTAACAGACTTGACTATGTATGAAGGAAAATGACAACATAGCGATAGCTTACACGCTGCATTCCTCGTTCAAATTACAAGAAAGAAATTCATTTCAGCCGATGACGTAATCGTAAGTGTCAAGCATATTACGTCTTGTATGAAGCACGTAATCAATATTCGTTCATTAACGTTCATTTCGCATTAACATCAAAGCTTTTAATGTCTAACAAAAATCCCTTTACCCATTCTATTCATCTTCACCTTGTGCATAAATAATTAGAAAAAATGATAGGCGAATTAAATGAGCACCAACCCCAACATAAGTTGAGCTTCACTCTTATATAGTTTACACACCATTGGTGGGAGAAATTGTTTTATTACGTCTATACACCAGTCTTTGAAGCACCGAATATAATGTGCCACCGTGCACCAAAAACCCCAGCCTGTAACTACGAAAAATCGCGGTTAAATATATACAAGCACACAATATCCCAAATTGGCATTATCAACAACTGCAAATAAAAAGATCCACGAGTACTATGGAGAGACCAATCAGTTGAAATCAGCTTCAGAGTGGATTTTTACCTTGAAAAACTCGATGGTTAGGGAGGGGAGAGCAGGCGAGACGCATGCCAGTTTATCAATTGGTACCCTTTTCTTGAGCGAATGATAATGAACGATATCAGAGAACTTCAAAATTGTTGAATTTAATTTGTCAGTGACAACTGGTTCTCGGTAGGTACTGATGATAAATTAAATCAAGCCAGTAACTGAGCGAAAACGTATTGAAATCAGAACTGCCTTGCAGAAATTGAGATCTCGTAAAGGTTTAAACGTACATCTGCATCAGAAAAATGAATGAAAGTGTGATATATGTGTAAGTGATTTATTAGATAACATACATAAATTAATACTTTTCTCTCCATATCGTGCATGGCAGTAGGGTGATCAAATTATCAAAGAAAATATTAGAAAAAAGCCTTATTCATTGATGTGTATCACATAATGCGAGAAAAAAATAGAGCAAGCATGAAACTTGAAAGCAAATATGAAACTTGTGACCAAATACTGCTGTTACGCGACTCGGCTACTCTCCCCTCCTCAACACGAAACAAAGTATAATACTTTATGATAATCCATCAAGTAAACGATAGTAAACAATAAGTCTCCAAATAGCATCAAATACACAATGAAATTCACAAGTATAAGTCTTAATACCAAATAGACGCCGAATAATTCTCCGCGACGTACATGTGGAAGACACGACTCTTCACATGGCATTGATAGTGTTTCGAGAACGAAAGAATTTAAATCCATGTCACTACAAACGGTATTATTCATGAGAACACGGAAAATTCGAAAAAAAAATTTAACAAGTACCGAAGAGTTCATAAGATTGAAGAGGTACAAAAATCCTAGGATAATAAACACGAATATAATTCGACTATGAATCGTCAATTTCATTGTAACATGCATGACTTGCTTTGAAGAGCACAGCAAAAGTCCAAAAACACAAACGCTTCGCGTTCCAGAATGCACGGAGTAACGCTTAGTCGTTGAAGAACAGCAGTTAACACACCAGGATTCACGTTAGAAAAACCTGGGAGCAATCTCATCTAGCAACGCACGTCGGTGTGCGGGCGCGAAAAGATCCCAGGCGGTAGCTCGCTGCAGAAGAACTTCGAAGGCTTCAGCAGCAAGCAAAACTTGTGTTCAACTTTCGTCACTATTTGCGCACTTTCATCCAGCCTTCAGCGTCAGGTTCTTGTACTTGCTTCTCCTTACGTGGCGCAGGTGGATGGGCATCTCGGCCACCACTACCAGTTTCGCCGCCGCCACCACCGCCACCGCCGCCTCCACCGCGTCGCCACACATTTCCACCACCACCACGGCCGCCGCCACCACCACGTACCCCTTCCTCTTCTTCACGCCTGCAAAATTTTAGAAGATTTACCTTAGGCTCTATTATTTCCCGACAAACGAAAACTGACAAAATTACTAAGAAATGGTGGCAATGAAGGCAAAAGGTAAATTCTAGCAGAAGGCTCGATCATCGACTTTACTTCAATTCCCTAGTGTCTTCATGTGCCATGTATATGCCTCCAATTGTAGCAAGATCTTCCTTCGTTTAGCGGCGATTTATGAGAATAGAAATTATTTACAGTTCAAAAAAGATGGATGAAACTTTGGATTTTGATCAAGAATTGTTATCATTCTAATTTGTTGCTGGCCATTTACCCCGTATGTTTTGGAAGTCCCCATTCAGTGTAAAAGTTATAGAAAATATTTTGCTCAATTACAATACCATTTCATTACCACGAAACAACTGCCAATTTGCAATAAATTTATTGCATCGCAGTTGTGTTAAATATAGAGGGTGCGACAACAGCGAACATTGGAAAAGTAAATGCGAGCAATAAGAGCCTCTTCAGGTCCTTGCCTATTTGCACTTAAATGTCATATGTGTGATTTTTTGCGACCAAACAAATTTTAGTCTTCATGTGCAGCTTATTCTATGGACGACAGCAGCGCAAAATATAAACCAAAACACACGTGCGGTAGCCGGTCATAAGCGATACTCACCAATCCTTATGGTTTAATTGCATTCAAATTATCATGAGTAAATAAAATATATGAGTACCCTAGCAGTCATACCGTGGAGGGGGGCGTTGCTCGGCAGGTTTGTTTCGCCAATTACGTTCGTCGTCGTCCAGGCCTCGGCCTCCAGGAGGCGGTCGCCGGTCAATGTCCCGACCCCCACCGCGGGGCGGAGGGCCGCCGCCATCCTTGCGCCACTCTCCGGCATTTTCCCGGTCACCACGACGGAAATCGCCGGCATTATCTCGGTCTCGGCGGAAATCACCTGCGCTTTCTCGGTCGCCTCGGCGGAAATCGCCGGCATTTTCTCGGTCGCCGCGACGGAAGTCGCCTCGTTCTTCCCCTCTGTGAAAATCATTTCTGACTCCATCACCACCACGACGGTAACCACCTCCTCGACGGCTGTCATCAGGATCACCTCCCCTCCTGTCACTGAACCCACCGCCCCGTCGGTCATCATCGTTCCAGCGACCACGATCTTTGTCGCCGAAGCCACGACTCCCACCGAACCTATCGCCGTCACGTCTACCAAACTTATCATCGTCACGTCGTGGAGCAGCGCCATCTCGACGAAGTGGGCGTCTGTCATCGTCTCGAGCAAGACCGCGTTCACGTTCCTCCTCCCGACGACGCTGTTCTTCTTTGAAGCCTTCGTCGAGTCTAATATCCCGCGGCGGTTCCCTGCGTGATGGCTCAGGAGGCGGCTCCATATTTTCTTTCTTGCGCCACACATTCAAATTTTCCTCATGCCTATCGTTCCAAGTTCCCGCCGCAGGTCGATATATACCAGATTTACCATCATCATCTCCGCGACGAGGTCCATCATTTCTTTCGTCTCTACTTGCTCGCCAAGCTTGCTGTTGCTTGGCCTCTTTTTCCCGCAACTGACGCTCCACTTCCATTTCCTTCTCCCTGCGCATTTTTTCTTGTCTATCCAGTTCTTGTCTCTTTCTTTGATATTCTTCCTCTTCTTGCCTCTGTCGCTCCATTTCTTCCTTCTCCTTCATTTCCTTCATCTTTTTCATTTCCTCGTCATGTCGTCTCTGCTGCTCCTCACGTTCACGACGCAAGTGAGTTTCTTCACGTTCTCTTCGTCGCTGCTCCTTCCTCTCAAGCAGTCGCTTTTTGCGCTCCACGTCAAGCCGTGCATTAAAATCGTTCAATTTCTTTTCCATTTCAGACCGACGTGCCGACTTTATGCCGTCAAGGAACTGGTTGAGGTCGGACTTCATGTGGTTAAAGCGCTTGCACATCTCCAAGGCCTGGCGATGCTCTTCTATAAGCTTCGCCACACGCTTCTCTTCTTCCACCTTCCAGAACTCTTTGTCTTGCTCTTTCTGCTTTTCGTACATCTCGTTGAACTTAGGAATCTCAACAAGACGCTTAGCTCGTTCATGATAATCAATTTTTTTCTCTTGAGTCTTGAGCCTCTGTTGCAACTCTTTCCTCTCTTTCTCGAGCTCCTCAACCTGTCTTTGCAATATTTCATCAGCATCCAAGCTGAGCAGCTCTTCTTCATTGAACTTTTCAATCATTTTCTGTCCATAAGAAGTTTGACTGATCTGCATTAGCTTGTCCTTGATTTGCTTTGTATGGATCTGCTTAAGCTGCTCTTCTTGTCGCAACTTTTCGCGCTCAGTGGCTTCTCGTTTCAGCCTGTCTTGCTCTTCAATCTTCTGCTTTTGCTGTTGCAGTTCCTGAGCTTTCCTTATACTTTCCTCTCGCTCCAGAGTCTGGTTTTCAAGGCGTTCTTTCCTTATCTCAATTGTGTTCTGACGAGCAAGAATCTTATCGTGGTCACGTTTCCTTGTCTCTTTATAGAGTTGAATGCATGCCGCCCGAACGCTTTGCATTTCTTCTGAACGCGCATTGGGAACTATAAGCGAAAGGCAGTTATTGAGTACGTTATTCATGTGCACGAGTTGACAGCGAATGCTTTCAGACGGCATGGGTTGTAGAGTGGGACCTTCAGGCAAGTCTTCTCTCTGACATTCGCTCAGTGCAGACCCAAAGTGGACGCAACTATTACGATGATCAATACGGATCTGCAGGTCGTTGTGCCGTACCAAGTCCACCAGAATCCTTTCCAGTTCAAAAGGTGCCATGAAAACCGACACTTCAACAAGCCACTTGAAGGTGACAGTGCTGTAGACTTGTGATAGCTGCTTGATGAGTCGTGTAACTGTCATTTCTTGGATAGCCGTGCAATATTGTTCGAGGTCAGGCTGCTGCGACACCCACACTAGCTGCTGCTTCATAGAGGAGCACAAGTTTAGGGGGTCAAAAGACACCTCCAGCAGACGGTACAAATTCTGTAACTCCACAGGCACAGCAGCTATTACTCCGCACCTTACAAGCTCCCGGAATAGCGAAATCCTGGTTGGAGGCTTGGGCATGTTGAGAAGGGCTGCAAGCTTGGCTACTTTTTCCATAGCACTTTTTTCGGTTTCAATGAACCGATCAAACTCAGGATGAGCAGAGGGCAAAGGGATGGCCATGGTGGCAACCAGCACAACAGACGCCTTCTTGGTAACTTCCTCAGCTGTAATGTTCTTCTTCTGCTCTCTATTCAGTTGAAAAAGCTTGAGCAAAGCTGCGGCGTGGAACAGTTGGTTTCCAGCCTTCCAGAAAACAAGAGCCAGCTTCTGATAATATGTGGCCATGATCTGAGGTTTTGGACTTTTCTTGCTCTTGCCCATGAGGTCTGACACATACTCAATAGCGCGATAAGCCTCCTGCCATAATTCCATTCGAATCGCATGGTCCAACTGAACAAGACGCGTCTCCAGGTTCATCTGTCAAGACATCATCAGTTTGAGCTCGTGAGAAAAATCAAGATCATCACACTTTCTCATGTAATATCAAGTTATATGGAACGCGATTAAACGAATTTAGAAATTTTTTCACGTAGAGCAGTTTCACCAAAATAATATGATATGGAAACTGAGAAATTCTAGCTACTTACTCAATGGTAAATAAAGAACTTATATTTCATGGAACATTTGTTATGTTGTTATATGCTAATCAATTTCTTATATGTTAATCAATCTCTTCCATTTAAGTCTGGAAAAATTAACAAGCATTCTTAAAATTCATCAGAGTGACCTAAAAAAAGACGTCAAACCCTAATTACCTGTTGGGTCTCAGGGTTGGAGAGAGACACTGACGTGGCCGAGGTGGGAGGCTTCTGCAGATGCTCAAGGTGTTTCAGGAGGTAGTCACAGAGCTTGCGGAATTCCGTCCTCCGCTGATAACGCTCACAGAAATTGAATGCCTGAAAAAATAAAAATGCATTTGAATATCCTGCTAAACATGCAGTGCGAGTATTTATAAACATATATATGTGCTACCATTAGTAATTGTAGTAGATTCAGTTGAAACGGAACACGAATATGAGAATGGAGAAAAACTACTTTTGCTGCGGTGGTCTAGTGGCCCTAATGGTATCTGGTTTAGCTAACTAGTTAAAACCTTGAAAACGAAACACTGTTCTTTATAATGAAGTTGTTAATGAAAGGAGTTTTAACTCCATTGATTCTCTGCAGAATGCTATCTACTGCACTCTTTTAATCAAGACACCAATTTTATTCAACCGGAAACTAAACTATCAATAAATTCTTTACTGAAGAGATTCGTTTAGGAAATTTTTGCACCATTTCATTCACAATAATTGTTTTGTGTAAGGCATATTACCCATCGACTGGGCGATTCGCTGACAAATGATAATATTTGAAGTGATGACTAGAATAACAATAATTAAAATTGATGTCTGAAATAAACTTTTAGAATGGTCAAGTAAATATGGGAAGAATAAAGTCACAGGAAATGCAAGAATTTTGCAGACAGCAAAAAAGTTCAAGACAAAAATGTGTAACTAGTATATAACAAATAATGTTTCTGGCTTTCCAATGGAATATCACATGACTGACATTTCACTAAAAAAAGTAGCACCATAGGTAAACAGGCAAAATGCAAACGATATTAGATGCTGATGTCTCAGCAGAGGAATCATGTGGTGTGAGGCAGGAAACTTACTTTCTTGGTGATGTCATGGTAGAGCTTCTCAACGCGAGAGTTATTGCGGAGCAGCTCCAGACATTGGCGGTAACTTTCCCACAGAAACTTCACCCAAGGAGTCAGGATGGTCCTGGTTAATCAATGAATATTGTAATCATACTATAACATTTTCAGTTTAGGCATGCAATTAAAATTTCTCTCAGAACATAGCACAGAAGTCCATAAAAAAGTTTAATAAAAGATATCAATAGTTTTCCCATAAGAAAGCCTCTAAGTGAAGGCTTATATTAATAATATTTTATATCTTGTATCTATTTGTATTAATATATCTGGAAGATAATACATTACCCCCTTGAAGTTTTCCAATTCACTATTTTTCTTATACCTAAATGGTACATTGACAGAGCATCAAATATCTGATGGACCAATATTACTACATAAGAATAAGATTCTGAATTTAACCAAAAAGATTGCAATCTTTCTTTAATTAGCATATACAAGAAAAATTATTATTCATTCCAATTTTTCCACTTGAGTAAATCACCCCCTACTGTCAACAACGTGTAATTTTCAAGATATTTTGCACCAAGGCGGCTAACAGGGGCAACAAATTATTGGCTACTACCTATCCTCTATATTTAGAGTGAAATTATGCAAGATACAAGAGCAGCCAAACACCTGAGTGACAAACTCAAAAATAACACATATGCATCAGTTCTAAAAAATAATACAAGTGCACCAATTCAACTTTTTCTTTTCAATTCTAGAAGCTTAGTTTCAGAATTATTCAGACCTGAAGTTCTGAACATAGAAATGAAGACTCGATCAATTAATTTCTAACAATTATTTCTCTGAAACTTGTGATTTTATTTTAAATCACAACAAGAAAGATTTATAAAAGGTGAAGTGTTTTTGTATGAGGTAGTGCTTGGCTATTGAGATAATTTTCAGTAGTGAGTTGAGTTTCAGTGAGTCTCAGTAGTTCCAGTAGTCATTCTTACAGAGAAATTAACATGCACTTAAAAAAATACTTCTTGAAAATTATGATCTCTAACTGCTACCACAATTTCTTTCAAAGAAAAGGGGGGATTTTCATTTATCTATTGATATTGAAATCTGCCAAGACCATATTTAGCTATCACTTAGATATACCTAGAATATTGAGCAGTTTTACATATCAACTAACACAAGGAGATCACTCACCTGTCACTTCTATCTTGAGCATCTTCACCAGAGACTGCACTGAGGAGCATCTCTTCAGGAGAAGCCAGGTTGTCCAGGTCATCAACAGCTGACACAGCCTCGTGGCTCTCCTTGCGTGCTGCCTCAGTACGTTCTTCCGCAAGTGTCAGGTAAAACCGCACCACAGTCTCCAAGGTATTCACATCAATCTACAAGAAAGTAATCTAATTTCAAAGTTGGAAGACCACCATCTACTTCCATCTGAGTTCACACACTTAAAAAGCACTTGATTCCTTGCAAAAGCGTCAGAGGTAAAATACATGCCAAATTTGACAGCAATATTGAATGCTCTTGAAGATAAACAAAACCCCTATTATGCAATAACTGATAAAAATTTGTCACATTAACAAACATAAAATATGGGCTTTTACCAGTAATAAAGATTCAACTGCATCCCCAGAAAAGTAAAGGCCAACACAAATAAATACAAAATTCAGATTTAAACAAGGCTAACAAAACTCACACTTTGGAAGATGTTTCTGTACTGATACAAGCCTTCCTTGGCAAGATGGCTCTTCTTGAGCTCAACACAGAGCCTCAGGTACATGAACATGATGGGCTGCAGCACTTCACAAGGGTTGTTGCGCATCTTGCCACGCCTGATGACCTCATAGAGGACATCAAGCGCACGGCTAGGCTTCCCCACATCAAGGAATTCTGAAATGGGAAAGATAATAATTAATATTATGAGTATACTTATGGTCAGAATTGGGTAATAAATCTGAATTGAATATACATACATGCTCATCTCAAGTGTTACCCACTGCCATTTAATATGGGTATATTCTAAACACAGGTGAATTTTTTATATGTGAGCTCATGTGATATAACTGCACAAGATGATATCACATAAAATGAATACATACAGCAATCCCTTGATTAGCACGGTTTTGAATACCGCAGAAAAAAAATTTGCGACCTACCCTTAATCTACGCGATGCCAGTTTTGATTAGCGCGACTTTTTTTCACAACGCATCATTTTCCCGCCTCTAGCCAGAGGTGTTACGTTCGTAACAAAAGTGTTACTTTTTGCTTATTAGATCTTATGTTGTTACTTTTGTTACGACTTTTGGAAAAATTCGCCGAATGTTGTTACTTTATGAATTTTAGCCAATAATTCTTTAAATAAGGTCCCGTTCCGTAGGCACTTGTGCTGACTACAGAGTCGGTTTAACCGCGCTTTGTCTCGTTCATTCTCGTTCATAACTCGAATGGTCGAGTTCGGCAACGTTTGCCGGTAAGTGCGCCATGCCGGTACTCTAGTTACTCGTTAGCCTTCAACTGGTCAAGATCGCTGCCATATCTACTGCTCATTTTAATCAAACTATATAATTTTCCTTGATAAATTACCGTCATAATTATGGACAAAAAGGGAACGCTTAAATGTAAAAATATCACTTTGGAGACTAAGCTTGAAATAATTAAGCATTTTGATAATGGTGAAACAAAAACAAAGATTGGTGAAGACCTAGGGTTTCCCCGAGTCAACAATACGCACGGGAAACAATACGTTAATTCATTCACATTTTTTTTATTTATTTCTCCTATTATTCAGAAAAAAAATATGGTGAATTTTAGTGGAAAACAAAATTATTATGTAACTTTGCTATTTTTGAGGATTCATTATAATTATTCCCATATATTCTTAAGTTTGATTAGCACGGTTTTGCTTAACACGGTAAAACTCGGGGATTTATTAACCGCGTTAATCAAGGGATTGCTGTATATACAACAATATCCTGAGTTCTGATATGACACACTATGATGGGCATTGTAGCAAGCACTGTGTGGAAAAAGAGATGTAGTGTATTTGCGGTGTATTTTTGGAGAGTAAGAGGCTTCCATAATTATGATGGCATGCCAAGGATTGGAATGACTGTCATATGTGGAAATAAAGTTGCTTCAGTGGATGGTTAGTTTAAAAGTAATAATTTTGACTGATTGAAACTGTTGTTATGCCATGTGGACCAAAGTGTTTGATTTGAATTTTGAACTGCTATCACAACCCAAAAGAGGTTTGAGCTCTTTTATTATGTGTGCAGTATTTAATGTGGTGGCTAGGATATGAGTGTTGTCTAGAGGTAATTTATACTAGTGCCTGTAAGTCTGTAATCTGCATCAAGTCTTTTTGCAATTTGCAATATGGTTTATAAATATGCTGGATCATTATTGAAATGAGGGAAGGGAATCTGAGGTGAGTGATGACTCAGATGCGGTGAGGCTACTCTGCATGATAGGATGGATATACAGAGAAAATATATATATATGTATACAGGATTAGAATTTTCCTGTTATTACCAAAATCTTATGACTACAAATGACAAACCTTAAATACATTCGAAAACTGACAGCACAATGATGTACCGTCAACTGAGGTGACTTCAGCAACACCTATGACAGAAAAAAATGGCAGCAAAACAAAATAATAAACGTTGGCCAATGTGTCTGGGGTGACTTTGGCCAATGTTTATTATTTTCTTTTGCTACCATTTGTTTCTGTTGTACGTATGGCCAAAGTCACCCCAGTTGACGGTACTTTTGTTAATAGAAGATGATTCATCTAATAGAAATCATGCACTCCAAAAATTGCAGAAGTACTAGTTGCCCTTCAAAAGGTAGACAACATATTCCATGCCTGTGTGGAGCCCAATTAGCAATATCGGGCATAAGTTTTGGAAAATTGCACATAAAATTGATTGCTTCAATGGTAATTTTTAAAATTTACTTGTTAAAATAGGATTTTTTTCTTATTTATACCAATGGAATTAGAAATATGCCATAGGAATGGGTGAAATTAGCCAAATTTACAGTCTTTTTATCCAATTCAGGGGTAGCTTCTGCAAAATTTTCTAGTTATGTATGAAACGATACAAATGGGCTAATGGGGACCCAAGGGCAGGGTGACATGCCTAGCGACAAGCATGGAAAACATCTAACTTTAGTGCCAGCAACTAGAGGTTTCCTGCCATTTCCGGAACCGAAAGATTTCTGCCAGATGAATTACCTCCTATCCAATTGTTAACTAAAGTGCATGATCAGGGCACAAGATTCCAATTTCCAAATGTATTAAAAATTTGTCACGTTGAAGCCACGAGATTTCAGAAACAAGCAGGAAAATTCCAATCCTGCCTAGCAACAACTCAGAGACGGAGGACAATGTAGGCGGCGCATCAGTGTGACCAGGAACTAGGTAGTCCCAAACACATCATAAAGTCATAAGGTCAAAAGTGGACATTTATTGGAAGTGTGACTGTGTGAGGCAAGTTTAAATGACCACAGATGTTGACTTGCCCAGTCACCAGTGCAGTAGCTAGTAGGGGCATAGGCAGTAAGCCTACATAGGCCATTCAGTCAAGTAGGGAATTTATAAATTATAATCTTTTTTGTGTTTCATTGAATAATGGCATTTGGCACTACTGATAAGCCATGGTGCAGAGGGTGGGTGCAGCGTCGCCAATATATGGGTTTTTACGCCCTAAGTGTCGCCGGGTAATTTTTAATGAAAAGCCATTTACACTGAGTACCGTAAAATGGGGTAACTTTGACCACTTTTTTTTCAAAATGATGCCTTTTTTACTAGATAACTTAAACTTAAATTGAAACATGCAAAATACAGGTCTATACTCTAGCTTTACTCACCAAAAATTGCTGGCTACTGCCTCTCATAGTTTTGATGTAATTTAAAAAAAAGTGATGGTCTTTGTTACCCCAGCTCTTGGGGTTTCTTTGACCAGGTGGTAAAATCAATTTTATTTTTTAGTAAAATAACTCCAAATAACTCCAGGTTGTGGTGCATTGTAGTAAAACTATTCTAGTTACATATACAAAAGACAGATTTTAGGAAAGTGTCATAGTTTGCAAATGGGGGGCGCCGCCCCCAAATGGGCAAAATGTGACCACCTAATGGCAGCCGTGATGGGGTAACATAGACCGGTTTGGAAATTAAGTTAAAATTACCATATATAAGACTCTGTAGAGTCTGAAACATAAAGAAAAAACATTAATAGGTATATCAAACATAAAATATGTTATATAGGTACCTATGGTAATTTTAACTTAATTTCCAAGCCGGTCAATGTTACCCCGTCACGGCTGCCATTAGGTGGTCAAAGTTACCCCATTGGGGGGCAGCACCCCCCATTTGCAAACTATGACACTTTCCTAAAATTTGTCTTTTGCATATGTAACTAGAAGAGTTCTACTACAATGCATCAAAACCTTGAGTTATTTTACCAAAAAAATAAAAAAATTGAAGGGGGTACTCTGACAGGCTTTAAATAATAGCTCTTTTTTGAGGGTCACATTTTTAATTTATAACCTATTAGATATGCAAACTTTTCAAATCTTTCTATTGTGTTACGTAGCCTCAGTATTAGGCCTTTGATGGCCATTGACAAAATTTTTCTATGTCAAATCGTTTTTGAGTTTTGGGGGGTTTTTGTTAAAAAAACGAAAAGTGGTCAAAGTTACCCCGCCGGTCAAAGTAACCCCATTTTACGGTAGTGAAAAACTATTTACAAGCCACAAACTTATTTACAAGGTTGCATGCACGTGTTACCCCAAATAACTAATTTTACCCTAAAAACAGTCTGATTGTACAGCAAGCATAGTGACAAACCACAGATTTTTTAAAATCAGTTCATTTCTAATTTCCTTATTTATTCAAGACTTAAGGGGACCGGCTACTCTAAAATTTTCAATTTTGGCGTTTTTCGGTTTTTGTGCTCATCTGAAAGCTGGAATTCTGCTCTTTCCAATGGTACCACTGCCATCGCTGTACGCCAATATTTACGTTCATGACGTGTCTTTAAAGGGAAGCGGGTGAGAGTTCTTTAAGTAATTAGATATAAAGTAATTAGCTGCTGAAATCTTTGAATATAGTTTCTACTCGAGTTGTGCTGCAGTTACATGCTTAGTCTCATCTCAAAGCTGACATTCTGAGCTTTCCAACGATACTACTGTGATCCATGTACGGCAATATTGATGCAGACGGCCGGGCTTTAATGGGGGGGCGGGGGGTGGAGTTCCTTCACTAAATAGACCTAAGAAAATTAGAGCGGCAAGACTACATATCTTGGTGTATCTGGCATCTGAGCTCAGTTACCCTCTCAACATTGTACATAGAGGTGCGCTACAAGTTGCTGCTAGCATCCTTGAGTGGATTAAGCTACAGAAGCCTGTAGTTTGGTATCCATGCTACATTGAGTGCCTATTTCGAGGCGCACGGGACTTTGTTGCACCGTCCTGAAAAGTTTGAAAAGTTCAACTTATTGTCACAGAAAACCTATCTCCTCCTACAGTTTTCAAGCTACAGCAATGAGACATACACCATTTGATTCGTAAGGAAATTACCTAAAAATTTGATGATAATTTTTTTGAATTTCTGTCTGGTTTGTTTTTTATATGGGGGAGAAGGGGGGGGAGGGGGGAAAAATGAGAAAAATGGGATAAAACACACATAAAAAAAACTAAGGGGAAAATGAGAAAAGTGATCATCAAATTTTCAGGTATGGTCCTTACGAACCGAATGATACGTGTCTCGATGTTGTAGGATGATATTTGTAGGAGGAGATAGATTTTCTAAGGTACCCCTTTTTAGCCGTTTTCTATGAATTTCACATTTTCTATCAATTTTTTGCGAAAAATTCATATGTATGTATGTGAAGTTTCATGATGATCGGATAATAACTGTAGAAATTTTTCCGGAGGGTAGCCGGTCCCCTTTAACCAATTTCTTATGTAAGATAATGCTGGTATCCATGATACTGTACTGGTCTACTTATAGGACTCAAAAATGAACTCGAGGGAGAGTCTAAAAAACTCTCTGCTTTGCCACTATGACAGCAAGTGTCAACTGAACATGTGATAATGCAGTCTGACCACTCTAATGTGACCGCAACTACATAATCGTAAACTTGATGTTTACATTTTTTTGGTGGGAACTCATCGCAACTGATTTCCGGACAAGCTTCACTCAGTTCACTGCATACTGATCAATCCAACATACAGAAAGGCGGAAACCTTACTTTTTTAAAATAGTTGGCCGAAGACTGACAAAGTGACAAATATATTAAATGAAAGAATTTCAATCTAAATGTGTGGGCAAGATCTTCTGAAGGCATAAATTTTGCTACTGAAGCGTCGCCAAAGATCTTGCAATATTCATCCACTCTCTGCACAGTGGTTTTCTACACACTTCATTGAAAAATACCATGATTGACAACTTAATTTGCTCCTTACTCATCATTGATGAGTAAGGAGCAAATTAAGTTGTCAACTCATCATTGATGAGTAAGGAGCAAATTAAGTTGTCAATCATGGTATTTTTCAATGAAGTGTGTAGAAAATTTTTCCAATTAGGAGTGCACTGCTACTCCAAATCAAATCCTATTTGTAAAATAACATGTAAATAATTGTCATTTGGCATATCTTTAATGCTATAAATATGAGGACTCTGGACTCAAAATACCTAGCTATTCACTTCAGAAGGTTGGGCAATCATAGGAAGAAATGTGTGCTTCAAGAGTTGTACCTACGAATTCGTCTACCTCTATCTTTATAAGTAGGCCTAGGGTAAACGCGGTATATTCCGTCACATTAAGGACGCATCGAGAAATGAAAAACTATAAAAAAAATAACCGTATGCGTTACTCAAGTTCTGTTTGCTTTAGGTGACTCTCAAAACACCGTAGTACGCGTTGGCAATGATGAAACATCACAAAATGTTGCCATATTTATGTAAAAGCCTTTAGAATGCAAACCTACCAAATCCCTATATTCCGTCACTGTGTGTGGCAATATTCGGCACGTGGTGAGGCGCATTCCGTCCGCGCTTCAAATTCTACTGATACGTAATGCCGTCATCCACGTGTTCGAATTCCGTTCGCTGTGTAAGACTGTGAGCTGTATTGGAATACAACACGGCTTTGAATTAGAACACTAATGAATATTGAACACTACTTAATTACGCTTTTAATTAACAACTATTAAGCTTTTAATTAAGCAAATTTTAATTTTTGTACATAGCTTGGAACGATCTGTGTGTGTCCAATTCAAGTTGTGACGGAATTAGTTTTCATGTGTCTAAATCCATTTCTCAACTTAATCATCTATTAATTTATTTACCACTTGAAATCAGCAAATACAAGTATACTTAAAGGATTCCTAATATATTCACAGACATATTTAAAAGTCTCAAACCATAATATTCTTCCTATAGGTACAAACAGTTATTCACTATTTGGTAGAGCAAGGTCAACTGTCAAATTTTACACACTTTTCGATGATCTCACTGGGTAGCGCATAGTCGCATACCCCCGGTAGCGTGCATTGTCTCTCTTTGGATCTCAATATTTTTCCGCTAGATGGCCAAGACCTAGTGTTTGGCATTAGTTCGATGCGCAAATGTATGACGTCACCATTTCAACCATCAACGAAAGCATGGAACTAAAACAAAGCTTAATAGGCTATAAAGGAAAAACTAGAGAGGTGACGGAATTACCCACGATGACGGAATATACCGCGTTTACCCTACCTTAAATCTTATGAGCAAAATTATTTAAAAATGAAACAAAATTGCTATTTCATTTTCCATTTGTTTGCCAAATTAGCCTACTATAACCTGTGCAGTAGATTGTTTTCAAACGTGTACCTATAAATTTTTTCCCAAATGGTAATATTAAGACTTGAGATAGCAAAGCCTTCAAAGAGCAAGTGGAATGGCAACATCTTGGTTCACTTTTCAATCTAGGTAGTTTAGAGTTTAGACTTAAGATTGTAAAAATTCATATAAGGCTTTAAAGTAAAACCAATATCTGATTTCATTGTTTGACGTAAGATGGGTTCATTTGGTCTGCTGACACTACAAAGCTTGAAATTCTTGATGGCATATTATAGTAATTCGAGGCGGTACCCACTGTTCCAAAATGGCGATGAATTCCAGTTATTCTCACCTTTAGCACGTTTTTCGGCATTTTCAGGACGGTAAGCACGCGACATTTTCAGAATCTTGCTGTATTTAAATACATTAACAACAGTAAATTAGAAAATTTGTAAGATTTATAATCGATCACACACTCCATCCACTCTTCGTGCAAAAATAATACACACTGACAAACCTCAGATGTTGCCACATTACGATCCTAAACAGAACCGGCAGTGAAGCGTGTGACAATACCTGACGTTGACGTATAAATAGCTTCAAGTTTATTTAAAACCAGTTGAGCAATGCTATAAAATCAGGAAATAAATTATTAGACTAATACTTTTCCATTATCTAGTATTGGGTGCAATCATTCAAAATTTCTGTAAAAATCTTCGTATGATTAACTGACTGAATCGACACTTATGCAGACCCGCCTGCGAAACGATGTGGAGAAATTTCTTAACTAAGTCGAAATTATCCAAGTTACAGATGCAGAATTCATGGATTTTGTCCGACTGATGAATTGTGTGTGACTTAGGTAACACGCTTGTAACAAAATTTCTTCGACATCTTACTTCTAAAAACGCTTCATTGCTTCTTGGAAAGTTGCTTGAAATGGTTTGAATGATTTTCAGGATAAATGACATTAATATAACCTCCCGTAATTACCAACAGCCATCTCAATTAACTTAAACTCGACCTCAATTTGTTCTTTAGCGAATAATTTGGCTTATTTTAACATCCGATTATTGGCATTCGAACAAAAAATATTTCAGAATTCGAGTTCGCTGAAGTGTCGAATCGGTCAGAATTCGAAATCTCAATCTAGATACGATAACTGAAAACTTGTATGAGCCATATTTCACTATTGATGTCAATGTGCCTAAGCTAATTGATAGAGAAGAATTAACAACAAATAAGTTCTACACATTTTAGACGTATTTTTTGGGCTTCTACTCCGAAGCTATATGGATTTGCCTGATGGAGGACCGTACGAAGAGTCAGTTACTGACGCTCTCCAGTCTCCTCAGTGTTCAGTTGGCTCTGTGCAAGTTAGGTGCGAGACTTATCCCTCCGACTGATGGTTCCTGAAATCGATATGCTAATCTTCTAAGCCACCAAGTGTAATTGTGTGATAAATTTGTGTTTTTTGGTAGTGATGGTCAGTGTTTTTTGTGATAAAATGTCTTAATTGTGTTTGAGTTCACCGATAAACCAAGTTGAACTTCACTGAAGATTTGACATTGGTAACGGTGCTGGCGTTTCTGTCAACATGGAGAGCTTCTCTATCCTGGATGAAGAGTGTTCGACACTAGCTGGTCACTTCCAGCTAACTATCAGGGACATGAAAGTAAGTTATTAACAGGTTATGCATTTTTACTTGAATTGTATGTTGATACGTCCAGGGTTATTTAGGTTAAAGACAAAACCGGAAGTAAAAAAAGTACCGTAGTGCCGGGCAGTCACGTCAGACAAGACTATAATTTCTCACGTTAATTTTAATCTTGCGTGGAATTGCTTACGGTGAAGAATCCCATTGAGATCATGTATATACATTTATACTCAAGTCCCTAACCCCTAATTCAAGTTGAACAATGTTACGTTTTCATAAACTTTTTATTCTCGTAGTCTCGTAGACACAGTCGGCAGACCGCAGACGTTAATTGATTAAGTTTACCTATACTGAATATCTATTGCTTCAATCTACTTGTGAAGTCTACGCACAATTCTAAGTACCTACTACAATATACTGACGATTGATAACTTTAATAATTACAGTTATAATGGTTATTTGAATTTGTCAAACGATGCGGCTGCTTGGCTTACCCGTTGTTAATGCTGAATTTAATTTGTTACAGAACTGCAGTCCTCTGTGGGAAGATTTTCTGAGCAGAACCATCAAGATGCACTCTACTCTCAAGTGAGTGCATGATTATTGATTACATTACTTGCATACTTATATGTATGTACGTGTTACTAAATATATTATACACGTTATGGTCCCATTCATTGCTGCCAATGCCGGTTTTAACTCCTCTTAGTTATGTCTTACCCTGAGCTCTAGCCTCTATGATAACGTCACCGATAGTTTCTTTTCACAAATGTTCATAATGATGTAGTAAGATTGTAATTGAAAAACTTCAGGATCAATAGTTGATTGCAATAGCTCTGGCTAGGCCTGAAGTTGTGCGTGCGCAGCATTAGTGTTGAATGTTTGGTTGGTCTGGCATGCGAAATGCCACGGAGTTTTGAATCATCAGTCAGAGCTCGCTTGACGCTACTGCTTATGCTGTGTTTGCTACGCTGTCACCAACCAGCCAATTTGTCGCCGTTTTTACCATCGAGTTTGCGCTCCCCCTGCCTCATATTTACTACCCAGTTTGCGCTTCCCCTGCCTCGCATTTACTCCCCAGTTTGCGCTCCCCCTGCCTCGTATTTACTACCAGTTTGCGCTCCCCCTGCCTCGCATTTACTACCCAGTTTGCGCTCCCCCTGCCTCGTATTTACTACCAAGTTTGCGCTCCCCCTGCCTCGTATTTACTACCCAGTTTGCGCTCCCCCTGCCTCGCATTTACTACCCAGTTTGCGCTCCCCTTGCCTCGCATTTACTACCCAGTTTGCGCTCCCCCTGCCTCGTATTTACTACCAGTTTGCGCTCCCCCTGCCTTGCATTTACTACCCAGTTTGCGCTCCCCCCGCCTCGCATTTACTACCCAGTTTGCGCTCCCCCTGCCTCGCATTTACTACCCAGTTTGCGCTCCCCCTGCCTCGCATTTACTACCCAGTTTGCTCTCCCCTTGTCTCGCATTTACTACCCAGTTCGCTCTCCCCGCCTCGCATTTACTACTCAGTTGCGCTCCCCCTGCCTCGCATTTACTACCCAGTTTGCGCTCCTCCTGCCTCGCTTTTACTACCCAGTTTGCGCTCCCCTTGCCTCACATTGACTGAAGAGTAAGGTTCTTGCCTTTTTGCTGAAGATGCGACGGTTACACTAGTGCACTTGCGGGACGAATACTGATAACTTCTTTAGAAGATTATTCAGTAAGATTTTCAGTGCACACAAGTGATACCTTCATCGGGTTTACGTTTGCTAAACGATAATTAGAAGACTGTGTTATGATTAGCGTATTTAGTGGCGCTTGCATAATAATCATAACATGCAACATTGCTACGAAGTAACTCGTGCTAACTTCTACTTACACGTTTTTAAAATATTTTTAAAATGATTTAAACATTTTCTACCTTATGACCTAACAAGTTACGTATGTCATTTTATTTGGACTCCGACAACGCCTTTTACTGTGGATGTCGTATGACAACGCTTTCGTTATGCCATTCACTATGAATGTCGTATGACAACGCATTTCTAAGGCTTTTTAGTGTTGTCTGATAAGACGTTTTAGGCCATTTTCTGTAGATGTCGTATGACAAGACTCTTTGAAAAGACATTTACTGTGGATTTAGCATAGCATGACTCCCTGTAAAAACATTTACTGTGGATTTAGCATAGCAAGACGTCCTGTAAAACCATTTACTGTGGTTGTCGTATGACTCGACTAATTGTAAAGCCACATACCGGTGTATGGTGCGAGTTTAAAGTCGCTAACGGTCTGTACTTCATTATTTCTAATGATGCCTCTAGCTCGTTGGTTGGACGTCATCGCGTTTAAACGAGTTTTTTTAAATGTTATTTGATTTGAGCTTTCTGAATTTCCCTACTTTCATTAGGCCGTAAGTTACAAAAGTCTCTATTGAGAATCGCACAGTTCTCTATTAAATGTTAGATTAAAAAATGGACGTGTTTATAATGATTTGATTAGCTGTGAAAAATATTTTGCCACTTCATGGACTTGAAAGATCGCTGGACTTGCATTAGGTGAGTGTTTTTCTCTTTTTAAATTTCAAATGATCTTCAGTTTGCGCTAAAATTTAGTATATGTAATTGTGACTAAATTATTTACTCTCATCAATTCATTCAAAACGGAATAATAAAATGGTTCTATTATTAAGAAGATATACACCGGGTTCACCTAGAATCGCTTGTTATGTCTGGCGTTGAGCTTCGCCTCATAAAGATTATAACTGTTGCGGCGGAATGAGGCCGTTTGATGGGAAAGCTTCCCAGACCCTCAAGGTGCCGGCAAAAAAGTATTTTTTGACGACTTTTTTTGCGTTCTGTTGAGACAGTAATTTATCTTGGCTGTTGTGTACATCTAACCAAAAGTTTGTTCTCGGGTTGAGGTAGCGAGACGGCATTTAGGTGATTTATAGAAGAGCCTATAGAGTACCTAATTGTGGATTTCCGACTTGGTTTTTCATCCATCTTGACTTCCTGATTTATGTAGTTAATACAGTTTAATATTTTCGTGCTTTAATTTTGGAGGAAAAACCCCTCGTAAATACAATTTTTAGTTTGGGTTCGAGTTGCCTGTGGATCACATCGCCGGTCTCGCATCTGTGCGCATCTTTTTTTTAACAAGCGTGGACGAACATTTGTAATACGCTTGAGGCCGTTTAACATTTCACATAGTTTGATTTTTGTTGTTTTATTTATTTGAAATAGTTAGATTTTTGTTATTTTATTTATTTAACATAGTTTGACTTGAAGTGTTGTTGCATTTAAAGCATTTTAACTGATACAAGCCTGAGCAAAATTGTTCCTTTGCGTGAAAACTCGCTCGCTAGAATTAACTTTATGCTTATGCCTCATGTGGGATTTTTTGTAAGGTTTATCGAATTAGTGAATTGTCAGCTAATTGATTTATTTGTGTTTCTAGGACTGAAGTTTTTCTGAACAGAATTTTGTGTTATGAACTGACGATGGAGCTGGACTCCGAAACGTTTTCTCTTATAAAGATATGGCGAATTTTTGTGGTATTTTCTTTACTTTTAGATTCCTGGTTAACTTGCGATTCAAGCAAACAAGTGATTCTAATACTTGATGTACTAATGTAACCCAATAACGTATCAGACGATGCGGTTCTAAAGGACACTTCATCAAAAGGTTCATTCGTCGCTTGTTTTTGAAATACATACGTGCATTGGTATTGTGTCGTATTCGATGGATCAGTCAGTAACCATAAGATCGATGCCGTTGCCAGGGAACCGTACGCAAATGGTAGTGATACAGAACTTAATTGTGCTTGTTGATTATTTCATGAACGTGATAAAGAATGCCAGTAGTATTAAGCGAACTTAATCTTCTTGTGATCTAGTGTTCAATATTACAAAAATGACGCGATGTCTTAAAGTTTTCAATTGAGAGACATTGCGCGATCGCGCAATGTCTTCTAGTTTACGTTGTCAATTGAGAGACTATTATATTGTTATTCAGAAAATTGCGAAGTTCCAAAAAAAGTACCCAAGAAATTACTATTGGTTTACTTTTTTCTTCTATTAACGTTAAAAAATGATTAAATTCAAAGCAGCCTTAATGTGTATGTTGAGGCTCTTATCTGTATTCATATCTCCCATTTTTCGAGTTATCTTTATCTCATCCTTCAATTAGCTTGCATGATCATCGCAATTCGTATCAAAGCAATCTTATCTTCACAGTTTTTTTTCACTTAGTGAAATGTGTTTTCTACGCCAACAGAATGCTGATTCAGTTGCATGTGGAATTTTTTGATATTTAATTTCTTTCATCATTTTCTTTCATTGCTTGTCTCAATATTTGAAAAGTTCTTCAATCCCACTTGTAGTTAAGTTTTATTTCTTGGTAAATGGATTAGATGTGTCGCGGGTTCCTCCTAAGCCGTTTTCTATTATTGAAGTCCAAAATTCCATGGCGAGAGCCTGTAATGTTTAGGTAAGACATTCGCTTCGCGGTGTGGACGATCTTCTTGCGGTCACTACCTTCAAGAGCCTTGACCATCTATGAGGTGTCGGCTTTATTACTGTCAGTACTCCAAGGTTTTCTTTCGTCCTCATCGGACGCAAAGTTATAATTTTTTGTCCCGAGTCGGAAGATGAAACCGCTGAAACGCAAACCCAATCATAACCAATATTTCCGTTTCTGTGGCTATCGCTATACACTTCTAAGTTTCAACAAGTATCGGTGCGTATGACAGAGTTGTGTTCTCCGGGAGATTACTGTGTGGTTGTTATAGCGTGAAGTAGTTATGTAACTTTATTCTATGGCAGTTTATAGACCAAAAATGATCGTTTCGCCATGGTATCCCATTGTGTTGGTTGGACTCGGACGTGATAAATTACACGAGGCTTCGTTGTGTTGGAGAGTGTGATCGATATTCTGAGCGGTGCGTGGGTGCAAGGTTATGTCACGTCAGGAACTTATTTTCTATTTCTTTTAGTTGGAGTTCATGGTCCAAGTGTCACTGACTTTAATTAGTGCAACAGAGTGAAATATGAAATGCCCTTTATTTTTTCCACAGAAATATATTAAGTGAAGCCAGATTTAATTACAATTTTCTGTCCATTTCTGAACAGGTTTTGTGTGCGAAAAGAAATGTGTATGGATGAAGTACAAACTTTAGGTGCTGCCAAGTATGAAATTTTCGAAGCCTTATATATTATGGTAAAATTGCTATAACCTGCAAATACCCTAGTGCAGCTAGGAGACATGGCTCAGAGTGTCTTCTTTTCCAACTCATCTTATTCATGAAACTAGCAATTGCACAAATCTTTGCATCAGTGCTACACTCGTGACGTTTTCCTACTTGCCATTATTTCATCATCCACAATATTTATATAGGTACCTTCAAATCAATACGTCCATATTCTCTTATTTGCCATTACTCCATTACCTGCATGATTATTTTGTTGGCCATCTCATTACTTTCCAGATTATAATGTTCGAAACAATCATTTATATCACTCCCGGACCGCCACCGTCACTCATACCACTCCTCTGCTTGCCACCACCACTCGCACCACTCCCCTGCTTGCCACCACCACTCGCACCACTCCCCTGCTTGCCACCACCACTCGCACCACTCCCCTGCTTGCCACCACCACTCGAACCACTCCCCTGCTTGCCACCAAAACTCGCACCACTCCCTTGCTTGCCACCACCACTCGCACCACTCCCTTGCTTGCCACTATCACTCGCACCACTCCCTTGCTTGCCACCACTCCTGATGGCAGAGAAGCATCGTGCTTGCTGCTGTACGGTCGCGGCTGCGCATGAGTTTCGGCCTGATGATTGTCGTCACAGCTGCGCATTGTACGCAAATATTGCGCTCGCTTTGCTGCACACTCGGGACAAGAACCTGGACATGGCCCTCGCTGTCCAGAGAACCGGCACTGGACAAACATTACTGAAATTCATTCCTCTTAAATGTTGATGATAAACTTCATCCAGAAGTATTTTTAGCGCATTTTCTCCTTTATGGAAGAAAAGCGCTATTGTGCTCGTCATGTCCGTCCGTCCGTCCGTCTGTCTGTCTGTCTGTCCGTCCGTGACTTCACGTTTTCGTCGACGAGAAAAGGCTTTCTCTGTCACTCACTGCAGTGAGTACTGAGTTATTTTTTTTATGTAGCTGTAGCTATTTAACAGGAATGTCATAGATTGTTAGATTGTTTAATATATATATTTTCTTATTTTCCTGTTTCTTGGCCATTTTTGATTTCAGCAATCATCTGACCGGTTAATAATTTCCTGTTTCCAACTTGAGAATACCAGATCATTTTTGTTCTTATTTCGATCAAATCTAGTCTGGAAATGCATATAAAAATGATTCAAATTCGAAATAAAACCAATTTTCGGCTCCAGGAAATTACTTTTATTCTGTTGTTAATGACGTGTCACGTTTGCCATTGCCATCTTGATAATTTTCTCTGCGTAACCCTGATATTATAGCCACCTCTTGGAAAAAATATAACTCAGTACTCACTGCAGTGAATGACAGAGAGCGCATTTTCTCGTCGAGGAAAACGTGAAGTCACGGACAGACAGACGGGCAGACAGACGGACATGACCAGCACAATAGCGCATTTTCCCATAAATGAGAAAATGCGCTAAAAATAGTGTCACATGGCACTCGCTGGCCTCGTTATTAACGTCGTAATGTTTTTTTTTTACACGGCGTCAGCGTCCAAGGCTAATATGGTCCCGCGTCGTGTTCTGATGCGGCAAAAAGGAAGATTTAGGCGACTGACTATAGTGGCAGCTTCCCATACCTAAGACGACTTATTGTGCCTGTTCTCGGCATTGTGATCCATGCGTCTAGAAGACACAAAAGTGGGCTCTGACGCTTGTAACCTACCTACCTTCGATTCACTGTGGGGATAGACCTAGCTTTGCCTCATTGTGGTTGCCGGTTATAACATCGTCGCGCTCTGTTTACTCTTTGTTTATGTTCCCCGTATTTTTTAGCTAGAAAACATTGGATTATCCTAATCTAGAAACCAATTGTTGTGATTACAACAGTCATTTGTCAAATTTTAATTTAGATTCATAATGCCAACAACACCTTATGACTTATTATGATTCAAAGCCTACCTTTTCGGAATCGAGTGCTAATTAAGAATTGTCGCCAAAACTGGAAGTTTGGGAAGTAAGCCCCTGCCGCTAATGAGTCTTGGGTGGTAAACACTCGAGTGCTTGCCTAATGTTGGTAAATATGAGATTAGCTTTCCGGCAATCTTAGAACACGAAGCTGCGTGAGTCCCGGATTAAGTTCCGGTCGTATTTATGGCTGTATAAGAAGCTGCGTGGGAAATTTCCGAGCTGCATGAGCTGCCACTAAATGCGTTATAGGTATATAATTAAAGCAGTTATTAGCATATCTATATAGTATTGCATTGTAAATAAACGCATACTTTCTTTTGTATTCATTCCCGTGGCACCTTGTATTCACACTGCATGAGCTATTATAATATCATGCATATGCATGCTATGTATCTGGCTTGGTGGTTTATCCTCTGATTATTCATGAGCTACGCTCTGGAAGTTAGTGCATGCAGAACGCGTGTGATTTATCCTTCAAAGTTGGCATGTTCTCGCCCAGTATAGTTCTGGGTGGCATCTTGGATGCGAAAATAAACAACCAAAGAAGATTCATTTCAGTTTGGGAGCAGGGGCCATACTTTCAAAACTCGCTAAGTGAGCGTAAGTACTGACGCTCTATTTTCTTGTCTATGATTGGTGGATTTTGCTTGAAAGGCCGTCTATGATTGGCTGATGAACTTACGATATCTTAACTTTTTTAAAGTATAGGCCCATACCGAACCATCATTTATTTGTGTACATAGACGAAGAGGCAGCGATGCATCGTGGCCTGGGACTGCTACGTCCCGTACAAATACTAAGGAAACTAAGGAAGAAGTGATATGAAATTTCGCTATTTTTGTTTTAAGTAAAATAAAGATGAACACACACGACCGCTAATTAAGATCCTGTGAATAAGCAGCCTGTGGACTTATGCCCCACATGAAGTTTGTGCTTGCTAAGCACATGTTTGTGCGAAGTCTTGGAGCGTTAGTGTCACAATGACGCTATTGTTGTCGTGTGGCGCAACGTAGGCCTAAACCTAACGAGTCCGCCTCACCATTACTGACTCAAGTATCCTAACTATCCTTCAGTGTCAATGAAATCCTGGCTGTTGATGTGATCACTTCAAGCACATTAATAAATGATATCGCCTTATTTGGGTAATGTGATAAGTGTCGGTACGAACTTGTTTTGGGGCTTGTCAGTTCATTCATATTAATTGTCGAAGTATGCTAAGGCAATATTAGTATAAATGAAATGCCCTCTTCCAATTATATATGCCTAGAATGCTCCAGTACCAATTTTCGCCCAAAAGGACAATAGATAAATCTTAAAATATTAGTATGATTCATGGGGGTGAATTAACAATCGTATTTACAATTACACGATTTTAAACAGAAATTTACAATGCTTTATTCTTAGCTAGTAAGTTAGCGTGGCGTTGCGCGAGATAGAGAATTCTTGCAACTGCACCGAAGATACTGCAATCCCGAATCCCGCAATCATCATCCCGAACCCAGTCAATCAATTTTAATTAGAGTGCGTTAATTAGAGTACGACCCGCTCCAAAACACGTTCATCTTGAACATTTTACTCCCAGTTTGAAATTTGAATGAATGTTAATTTTTTTCATTTCAATAAAAGTTACCATACATACCATGGTAAAAATAACAAGTTTTTCATAATCCAAATCCTTCCTCGCCCTTCAATGTCTCGTGATTCCACCGTCACAATATAAAAATTGTATTACTGGTAAGGCAATATACTAACACGAAAAATATTATAAAGCATGCACGTTTATTTCTAGTGTCAGTTCTCCAACACTCACAAACAGTGACAAATATAAGATTATTCTGCTGTCTTTCACTTCAATATCTCGTGATTCCACTGTCATAATTCTATAAAATTGTATTACCGGTAAGGTGTAATATACCGACACGAAAAATATCATAGAGCATGCATGTTTATTTCCAGTGTCAGTTCTCCAACACTCACAAACAGTGACAAATATAAGATTATTCGAGCTTGTCATTCGTTGTTTCGTCTTGCAAGTGCACCGAAAGTGTGTCGCATGTGTTGCTCTCGTTGTGCTGAAAGTGTGAGAGTCTCGTGTTGCTGCCACGGACACTGCTTTGTTTCTAAACAAAGCCGTGCTTTATCGTGGGAACAGTTTATTTATATGCGCTTACACCTCGACTTCTGTGTGCTAAAATAAGCAAGATATTTTGTGATGTATCACGTAAAATAATTGACTTATTTGTCATTACTGGAAAAGGAAACATTATTTCGTTACCTGATTATTTGAAACGTTACTTGATTATTTGCAACGTTACTTAATTATTTAAAACTTTACTTGATTATTTGAAACGTTACTCGATTATTTAAAACTTTACTTGATTATCTGAAACGTTACTATGTTATTTGAAACGTCACTTGGTTATTTGAAACGTCACTTGGTTATTTGAAACGTTACTTGGTTATTTGAAACGTTACTTGGTTTAGATCATGCTTCCTATTCCACTGCATTTAGGAAGCATTTAGATCATGCTTCCTATTCCACTGCATTTTCGTTATTTTGTCCTATATTGCTCGCAATAACTGCAACGCACCAAATAAACTCCGGCATACACTGGAGTAATTCAGCATGCCATTCCTGCCAAATTTATAGATGTTTACTGGCATTAATTAAGACGCTGACAGTGTATCGAAAGCTTTACCAGGATCAACCAAAGCAAAGAAGGAAAATCGCCTGAGTTTTAATTAGCCTGTCCTAGTGTAGATCCACTCAGAGAAATTTGAGACGTTGTCCTAATAGCGATGCATTTTTTGCCCTTGTGTGGGTTATCTTGACTCAGTTTGGCCCGACAATTTGGAGTTGATCAGAGCTGCTTTTGTATTTCGTGCCCAGCATTAAAGTATTTTGTTTAACAAGATAAGTTGACAATTATCGCTAAAGAGAATATTTTGACAATTGTGTATATCTGCCAGTAAGTTTATTATTTTCTTATCGATAAGAATTATTTTCATTTCGTGTGTATAACTTGATATTTTTTAGTAGAAATTAATTTCATTTCGTGTATATTTATAAATTTCCAAGGAATATAAAAGAGTTTTGTCACCTTACAGGGGAGCCCTGGGCAGCATCAGCAGCTTCCTGGACTCCCTACAGCGCATCGCCGACCACGCCACCAACAGCAGAGGTGAATAATTAATAATTAATAATTATGAGTCGCGCCGCCCTGGGTCGTGAATGATGGGTCAAATGAATGGGTCGTCATGATGAAGGTCGTGAATGATGGGGCAAATGAATGGGTCGTCATTTTGTCCAAATAGTGACACATATTTTTCCCGCAGCACGAGCAGAGAGTGAACGTATCACTGATACGCCCTGTTGCCGGGCCTAATTTGGCCAGAACGACGCATGCGAGGGCCAAAAGTGCTTCATTTTTTGGACTAAGTCTTACTTATCTCTCAGGTGTGGGATTTTCGGCGATATAAATATTTTTTATTCGTTAATTTATCACAAATTTGATGGGCATATGTAAGCCTTTTATGTGACTGCTGATGGGGTATTTAATTCGTTAGTTTGAGTGAACGATATATAATTACTGGGTGTGTATGATAAGACTGATAATTCGGCGGGCAAGTTTATTTTGCCCCTACCATTATTTCTAAAAAAAAAGAATCCCGCTAATTCAACAATAGATTTGCGTGTAGTTGAGGTTCGCTCTAATTAATGTGCGCTGAATTTCTCGCGCCTACATTGAATTTACGCGCACACCGCGCAATCGCTTGTTCAAAGAAAAGTTAATATGTCGTTAATGTCATATCAGTAATTTCGGTTATCGTTTAGGGTTCTCACTATTTTAATTCCTTCACTAAAATTCATGCGAGTAGTCACGAATTGTCTCTGATGTTGCCTGCGATTTCAGAAGCGCTGCGTCAGTTTTATAATAATGCCAGTTTTATTTATATTTCATATGCACCAATTGCCTTCAAAATTCCGTCAAATTTTATTGAAATATATGTTTAGTTCAAGTTTTTTACTGTCGCAGCTTGCTTGAACTTTTTACTTAACAATATGTTCGAGCGAGCTTGATTTTACGTAGTAAGAATGGCAAGGCGGTCTCGAAACAGCCGGAAAATAATTTATATATTTTTTTAATTATGGTTCAGCGCGTGGGGAGTAGAACTGCAAGTCTCTGCTGCACAGCCGGTGCTTGTACACGGGACCAGTAGTGGCGGCCAGTACCTCTATGAAATGTTGACCGCCATTATTTACTGTGCCTGACCTTATGTAAATGATTACTGGGTCTTCCCGTGACCAGTAGTGCCCTTACACGAAACCAACAGCTTAGTAAATACCGGCTGGTAGTATTTGAAAGTTGACAAAGAATTAAAGCAAATAAAAGGCCAGACAAATTCTTGGTTAACTTCCAACTCAAGCCAACTAATGATCTCGTATTTGAAAGTTGTACGGGTCTCGGCTGGTCTCGTAAGAGGAAGCGATTGTGAGTCGCGGTATCGCAAACCCGAAGTTAATTTCACGGTAGTAGTGCGTGCTGATGCTGACGGAAATGTATGCGTACTATAATGCTGGTGATGTTGGTGATTTTGGTGATGGTTTGGCCGAGTAAGTTATAGCCTTTTTTGAGATACACCTGCGACTTATGCTGCACCTGTTCTACACCTGCGCCATATCACTGGAGTTTCTGGCTCTATCAGGCTAGCTAAACCTCAGTGTAAATTCACTGACAATAATTACCTTAATCTTCAATAACCATAAAATATAAATAGAAAGCCTTTAAATTCACTGACAATAATTACCTTAATCATCAATAACCATAAAATATAAATGAAAAGCCTTTAAATTCACTGACAATAATTACCTTAATCTTAAATAAACACAAAATATAAATAAAAAGCCTTTAAATTCACTGACAATAATTACCTTGGTCTTAAATAAACACAAAATATAAATAAAAAGCCTTTAAATTCACTGAAAATAATTACCTTGGTCTTAAATAAACACAAAATATAAATAAAAAGCCTCTAAATTCACTGACAATAATTAAATTTATCGTCAATAAACATAAAATATACATAAAATATAAATAAAAATCCTTTATTTTGGACAGCTCAAACAGTTTTCTTACTACGGCTGCGATAACTGTTTGCAAGACATTTTTAATGTTAATTGGTTGGTGACGGAGACGTTAAATAAAAAAAAAGTAGACGTTGTCTCCTTTTTATCTATATGTTTTATTTTGTTTCATAAATTTTCGTTAGAATGAAAATAGACTTAACGTACTAAATTCCGGTTACCCAATTCAGCGATTAATAAATTCATGGTTGATCTCAAGTGATAGTCGTTGATGGGAACCACGTCCGCCAACTGCTAAAAACTATTTTAGTAAAACTATTCATGTGTCCGTTTTATGTAAGCGTAAAAATGATCGCAAACTTTGCTTGTACCTCAAACAAATTTTTCAGTAGAAATTTAAAAGCAAAGAAAACTCCACGAAAATTCAAATGAATGAATTTTTCAGGTTGTGCCGAAGGAATCGGTCGCATGGATTTGTGTCCAATAGATACTCACACCGTTCCATTCCTCGTTTTCTATCACCACAATTAATACAAAAAAGTAATGATGTCATTCTGTTGCTCATGATCGCCACCCTTTTCTTAGCTTATCAGGTTGCATAGAGGAATTTTATGCTCGCTACTCGGAACATTGCTGAATGTTCGCAAGAATTTCTTTGTTGTATCGAGAGCTGGAAATTAGCCGAGGGGCTTGCACTTGCAAAAACTTTTTTTTGTGTGCTTCAAGGACGGGAAATCGTCTTAGATGCTTGCCAAAACTCCTTTGTTGTGTCGAAAACCGGAAAGTAGTCGAGATGCTCGTTTGCATGCCTCGCCGGACGAAGTTTGCAGAGCAGTTCCGTCCGGACCGGCGGCAGCCCCGGAGATGACAGCCTCGACTTCCGCAGCAACAGACGCGCTCTCTGCCCCTGTATACCCTGACGAATCTGCGTGTTGTTTTCTATGATTTTTTCTGTTATACGTTCAATCTTGAATTATTTCTCCTCTCATAAGCATGCGCGTGCATATGCTGTGATTATGCTTGCATATGCTGTGAATATGCGTGCATATGCTGTAATCATGCTTGCATACACTGTGGTTAAGAGTGCATATGCTGTTATTATGCTGTGATTACGCGTCGGTGCATATGCTGTGATGACGCGTGCATATGCTGTGATGACGCGTGCATATGCTGTGGTTACGCGTGCATATGCTGTGGTTACGCGTGCATATGCTGTGGTTACGCGTGCATATGCTGTGGTTATGTACATCTTTGCAGTGATGGATCGTTCATTCATTCTGGTTTCACGTAGACAAGCCATCGTCTCTATTTCCCATTGAAGTAGGGGCACAGATGGATTGCATTCACATGGATTCACTGTCCTTTCAAATGGCTTTTCGGTAATATATAAAATATTAAGGAAAATGTCCGTTTGAAAGTATTGCAGTACGTTTAATTTTAGTTACAGTTGAATAAGGCATATTTACTGTCTATTTTAGTAAAATATAGTACGTTGCCGTTTGCTGTTTGGTCTACTCTATCATGACAAGTTATCAATTGAACTTATCTTTTGTTAATCCCGAATATAATTATACAAAATTAATTAATTTTAATAACTTATTTGTGTTTTACGACTTTGCTGATCGCTGTTGTTACCCGCGTCATGGCTGTGCTTTTTCTAAATAATTAGGCTGGTCTTGCTATCGACAGCGATAACCGCTATCTCAGCTCTCGTTGTCGCTGCTTTGTTCTTGTTAATGTCTTATCGCATCGTAGTACCTCAGCCACCCCGGGAACTCCTAAGCCACCTCGGACACTTCTAGTCACCTCGGACACTCCTAAGCCACCTCGGACACTCTTAAGCCACCTCGGACACTTCTAGTCACCCCGGGCACTTCTAAGTCATCCCGGGCACTCCTAAGCCACCTCGGGCCCTCCTAAGCCACCTCGGACAATCCTAAGCCACCCTGGGCACTCTTAAGCCACTTCAGGCACTACTAAGCCACCCCGAGCACTTTTAGGCCACCTCGGGCACTCCTAAGTCGCCACGGGCACTCCTAAGCCACCCCCGGGCACTTCTAAGTCACCCCGGGCGCTCCTAAGCCACTCCAGGCACTCCTAAGCCACCCCGCGCACTCTTAAGCCACCTCGGGCACTCCTATGTCATCCCGGGCACTCCTAAGCCACCCTATAGCTCTCCTAAACCACCCCAGGCACTCCTAAGCCACCCCGGGCACTCCTAAGTCACCCCGGGCATGCATTCCTAAGCCACGTCTGTCAAGTTCGGCTATCTGACATCATTAGTACGCCATCGACTTCATAAACTCGCGGCCTGAACAACCTCGCGTCTTCAACAAGCCTAAAACTTCAGCCAGCTCACGGCATCGTAAGCTCACATGTCAGCAAGAAATGAGCTTCAGCAAGATTTCGGCTTCAGCAAAGTCCCGGCTTCAGCAAAGTCCCGGCTTCAGCAAAATCCCGGCTTCAGCAAGCACCTGGTTTCTGCAAGCGCCCGGCTTCAGCAAGCTCCTCTATATAGTACTCGCCCTGTTATACACGCCCGGATCAGAGATACCGAGCTGTAACTATATGGACGTTTCATCACTATTTCTTCCTGCTACTGTCTACTATCTTCATAATTACTCGTCTCATTCCTACCATCTTTCATCATTCCTTTTTGTTTCTGGATTCTACCCTACCCTCTATTTCTCACTTGATATTCCGCCCTTCACGTCCGCTTCACTACCTGAACCACAATTCCTTCCCCCTCCCCTCTGCCCCTCCCCTCTGCCCCCTCCCCTCTGCCCCCCCCTCCGTAGTGCTAGGCCTAGCTTCCCGTTTGCGCTCGTGACGATCGATCAGGATGCGCGCGTGATGCTGACGCGCGTGATGCTGACGCGTGTGATGCTGTTATTTACGGCGTGTGGTGCTGATATGCGATTTTTTGGCAATGATGCTTTTGTGCGTGGTGCTCAAGTTGTCCGTGCTTATGCCTATAAATCTGACGCGTGTGATGCTGACGTTCGAGATTCTTATGCGTGCGACGATGATGCGTGTGGTGCTGCATGATGCGTGTGCTGCTACTGTACATAATGCTGACGCTCATGCTGTACGGTA